CATTGACATGAAGCCGTCACCGTTCAATAACCGGTCGATAGCTCAAATCCCGGGGACTTCAACGGTGTGCCTGCCTTTTGAAGAAAAATCGCTTCGAGACCTGCAGCAGCAAGTGCTTCAACTCAATAAAAAAGCACTTATTTACTTAGATACTAAAACGGTTCGTCTTTACTGGTTGTGCAGACCCCAACACATATTTCATTCGTCCCTTTGCTGCGCGACTGTCGTGCATGACGGTTGTTTGATTTGAGCATGGCGGCTGCTGCGAGCGTCATACCGTAATCTGAAAGATATCGGGAGCTGAGAGTACGGCTTCTTTACTCTTTCAACGAACACGTCCGCCTAACGTGTAGGTGGTCGCCCTTGAGGGCGTGTACATTGCCGTGGAATCCACTCTACAGTTCTCGTCCACCTGTCCACTGTTCTTCCCACAAAATGACAGGTCCATCCGTGTTTCTCTACAGATGTATAAACCTCTGGGTAACGAAGAGGATTGACCTCAAAGATCTGGGCTACGCAAGCCGCCTAGATGTTGTGTGCGCCGACTAAATTTCAGAAGACATCTTTTAAGCGCTCTGTGAGCTGTTCGTAGCAGTCTGACGTATTGGAAGTATCAGCCTACGTCTCAGCTGCATAGCAGAGTGCCGGGAGGACCGTTGAATCGAAAGGTGAGCACGCAGTTTTGAGCCCGTTAGTTGGTCGGTGGTTTCCTTGAGAAGCCCGAATGCGGCCCATGTTGCTCTCTCCTCCTATTGAGTTCCTCCTCCATGTTGTTTTCCAATTGCAATGATCGTCTAAGGTGCACATAATAAATGGTTTCTGCAATCAGAGAATCATCCATTTCGACTTCATCGCCATTGCACCATGTGCTCCTCATAAACTGGATCTTCGTCCTATTGATTCGTAGTCCGATCTCCTTTCCGGCTTCGTTTGATTCCTTTAACATTGTCTCGGCTTCAGTGGTACTTTTCGAAAAGATGACGATGTCTTTCGCAAAACGAGAATGTGACTGGAATTTTCCATCAACTCGAATGCCCTTCTCGTTCAAATCGAACAACTTCATTTCCCACTTCAACGGGGCGGTGAACAGCTTTGGCGATATCGCATCGCCTTGTCGAAGGCCAATGGATATGGTCAGAGACTGATGAAAACCTGTATTTTTGTGGTGCACTTTCGATAGCAGCCTGGCAAGGTTCCTATATAGAACGGATCCACTCCTTGATCGACGAGCGCTGATAGGACTGCATTCGTTTCGACGCTTTTAAACGCTTTCTCATAGTCGACAAATGTTAGGACTAAGGTCAAGTGATATTTATGTTCTTTTCTCTTTGACCATAAAAAAAGGTTTCCAAAAAAATCGCCCATGTCGGCAAAACTTCAATTTTCTCAGCTCTCGAATGACTACTTACAGTCAAAATCTGTTTTCAGCGAGAAAATCACGAAATTGCGCTTTCACGGAAGAGCTAAGCATTTAGTAGTTAATAGATATAGTAAATATCTGGGTTTTTAAAAAAGCACTATTTGGAAGAAGTTTTTTTATGTCGTTGCAGCAAAGTAAATATAATAGTGCTTTATACGCGTTACACATTATCTTAGAGAATTCAGTAATAAACTTATATTAAGAAAAGTCTCTATACAGCGCTGTAGTAGGGATAATGATGTTGTGATTCATTCACACGGCTGAGCGTTATCGCATTCGTAATCGTTATATGTTTGGAATTTTTTCTCTTTTTCGTAGATACGTCCAAATTTTTCGTCACAGAAATGTAAAAGAAACTTTGTTCTGTCGTTCCATAGGCTTACAATTTTTGTTCACATTTTACATTGCCAAATTTAAACACTGGTAATTCAAAGACTAAGAGCGCATGTGGCGCAGTGGTTAGAGGTGCTCTGCGTCGCACACGAGGTCAATGGTTCGATCTCGCGCTCATGGCTCACCAAGCCATCCATCCCTCCGGGGTCGGTAAATTGGTACCAGACAGGTCTCAAGCTTGTCTGGGAGGATAAGCAGCACTGACTCGGTTCAGCGGGAGGCCACCGCGAGTCATTGTAAAGGCCAGATGTGCATTCAATCATCTCAAACGAAGTTAAAAATTGAAGTCGAATGCATGACGCATCCCTCAGGGATTGATCAACGCCGAGAGCTTTATCCTTTTTTTAATTCAAAGACTAAGCCTAAGCTTGAATAGCCGAAGCCTATGCCCTAAAAGCACATTAATATGAATGAAAAATCTTATAATCTCAGAATCATACATTTTGCCTACAGTTCTCTTAGATCGGGCAAATCCAAAGGTTGATTGACAAAAATCACGTGCCACATGATCATCGTGCTGCACAATCAATCGATCGCGCTGTCGACCCACAACCACTCACCTATCCTAGCCGACAAGAAATGCGGCGTTTTTGGAGATTAATGATATTTTTGTTTTTAGAGTGCAGTTAAACGGTCTTTTAAGAAACCATAAACATATTATTGCAATCGCGAAACTTGCGGTGTAAAACGGTTATTATAAGTCATAGGAACAGCTCTCTCTTGTGAGAAATAAGCATCTATGAAGCATAAATCTATTTTCTCTGTCTAAGCGCTGTAGAAAAACGTTTCCGAAAAATTCAGCACTTTTGAAATCTCCGACGCGATGCGTGCAAAACATGAATCAGTTTCTAGTGCTACAAACTATCTTTTCAAAAACTTTTGAAAAACGAATACATAAATGAAATTTCCTTTTCCCATAATTATTGATAGTTTAATAAGGCCTTCATACAACAAAAAGTTTCTTTCAAAAATCCTGTCCAATAATGGCAAAGTCCCTTATATCCGTGATTCCGTCGACATAACTAATGATGTGGTAATGCTTCTACTCTTGATCGTTGAGGGAATATTGGATGAAAGATCATTAGTGGACTTTAATAATTCTTTCAGATGATCTCGGAAAGTTAAAAATAATTTTCCATTTTTTCGGAAAGTACTGCACTAGATTTGGAATAAATCTATTCTCACAGCTGAGCTTTCGGTGATTTGCTCTTCTCTAGAGCTTGAAATACCAGGTTGTCCATCAGCCACTCGAACTCTCACTACCTTACCGAAAAATTTCGCTTAGATTCAGATTTTCGTTCTATCAAGCACAAAACGACTCTCTTTATCCTCGCCGCTTTCAGGAGCTTTCCATTGAGTTGTCCACATGAACACGACCCGTGCAGAGATCACATGGACTTCTAATGTGACTTCCTAAAAAACAACCGTTCATACTGCATCATATCACGCGTGTTAACGTAACATTTTCTCCTTGCCTTTGAGAGCCTATAGACTACAGACGGCGAGCACATGGGACTATGGCTGCCGATGTCGTAAAGATTTTCTTTTGAACAACAGCACGTTCTTGCTCGCTTTCCATTGATTAAGAACTACGCATTCTGACAGCATAGCAAAGCAATATTTCGCATCTGAATCCTGGAAAATACATTCATATCATCTTCCAATAACCCTAGAATCGAGATCATGCGATCGAAAATGAAAAAGTCCACAGAGAGTATTCGGCATCTGCCCTATGAATTTTACAGTTTCGCGCAGTTCGCAACACAACGGTGCAGCCGTTTTTACCGATTTTCCGCTACCGAGAAGATCTACCCGTTTCGCCGAATGAAACTTTCCAACAAAGAACGTTGCTCTGAACAAGCGTTCTATCAGCTTTAGACAGTTCGATAGTTTAAGCATAATGCCTTCAGTCATAAGATGGTTTCAATGACCTGCTGGTGATTGAGTTCTACCTAGAACAAACAAGAGATTTGATAACATCACTATGATGTCAGCACCGATCCAATAAAAGGATAAAGGATAAAGCTTTCGGCGTTAATCACTCCCTGAGGAGATGCACCATGCATTCGTCTTCAATTTTTATCTTCGATTGAAGTGGGTGAATGCATATCTGGTCTTTACAATGCTCGCAGTGGCATCCCGTTGTATCGAGTCAGCGCTGCTTATCCTCCCAGAAAAGCCTGAGACCATTCAGGTACCACTTTTGTGACCCCGGAGGCATGGATGGCTTCGTGAGCCATGAGCGCGAGATCGAACCATTGACCTCGTGTACGACGCAGAGAACCTCTGGCCACTGCGTTACGTGCGATCTATTCCTCGTTTTATGCCAATTTTTTGAAGATTCTGCTTAGTAAGAGAATATTGCAGATACTTTTAGAAGAAATTCATTCATTTCATTGGGATACTACCACATTGTTATCGTAATGAGCTGCTCTCGCCGCGCGCAGCGCACAAGGTCAACATGAAACCCAGGTAGTTAGCTGAGTTATCATCGAGTGCGGTCTGTGCTGGAGTGAACTGGAGACGTTCACTATACTATAGAGCCTTATAATAAATCATCTGGGACTCACCATCGGGGACCAAGCAACCAGTCCCATAGTTAATCACGCCCCTTGTGTATACAGTCCTCAGGACCCTAAGTTCGACAAAGCCACTGGATGCTTTCCTAAGTGCAAACGTCACGAAGACTACATAAAACACCCGCTCTCCATAGCCGGTGGTCGTGCCCCACGGCCACGCTACAGTACACTGTGATCGAGAAGATTCGGGAATGATTACTCGGTATCGATGCTGACGTCTCTCTCAACCTCTCTCCGTTAGTCTTTGTGTGGCTCTCACTTCGTGCGGTTGCTTTCCTGTGAACTCTCACTCCACTTATGCATTTGTAACATATCGATTTTGTCATCTTGTTCAAGCCATCTTTTACTTCTTGAGGAAATGTTCCATTGTTAGAATGACTTCATTGAGGTCTTACCCATTCATCAGTTGAGAACTCCTCTCACACTCCTTTCACTTGATCGTCACAAGATCGCTTTAGTATTATGTATATACTGTTTCAGTACTGTTATTGCAATGTTTATTTTGAGTCGTATTCTCGTACAACAAATATAAATAATCAGCGTGGCAGGCATCTCGCGCGCACTGATACTGAGTACGACAGCGCTACTTGAATCATTACAATTTTTGGTGCCTTGGCCAGGAATCGAATCCAGGTCGCCCGCGTGGCAGGCAAGTATTCAGCCACTGAACCACCATCCGATAAAAATGAGGAAAAAATGCACAGCACTTCCCTCAGGGACTGACCAACGCCGAGAGCTTTTGCAGCTTTATTGCAGATACTTTGCCTTCAATGGCACCTCATGGCTTCTGATTTGCTTGCTATAGCCCTATCAGACACGTCAATCGAAACCTGTCAATTATACGCTACGCTAATTTGGAGAACAAAGTACGGATGAGTTTTGTATATGTGGTGTTTCCAATAGGATTAATGATATTTCTTTAGGACTGCATCACATTCGGCTGCTGTCACTGCGTTAGCATGGAGTTTACATGATTAAGGTGAAGATTTTATCTATTTCTTATTACTATAGCAAAGATTGTTTGCTGAATGTCAGTCAGCACCAGTTTGGAAACAGTTCTGATAGCTTAAAAGGATACGCTTACGATGCGAAAGTTTTCAGCATCACTTCACAAGAATGTAAAATTTTTCTGGTTCCCAAACATCTGCTCGCGCATATACCCAAGTTTAACGTGCTTCAATGATCCTTCAATGATCCTCAATGAGCCTCAATGAAAATCGAAGTCCGATGAGTTTTTGAACATTCATTCACATGTGCTCTATTTCGCAATGGTTTTCATATTCCTTCTGATATCTTTATATCAACTTTCTTTTAATTACATGGAATTTTCAGAAGTGTTATATTTGAACGTGGGCATTGTGGACGATTTCTCTATGCATGTGATCATCGGCTAATTGTTCTAGTTGAAACGACGAGAAACTCAACCCGGCAGGTGTGTTAATGCTTACTGAAGCTGTTCCTGGTCTGACTCAAGTTTTGCAATGTTTTGATCTACCTGTGTTCTGAAATCTGTGAGATCACTGGCAATACATTGAACATCATATGCCAACTTGGTTGTTTATGTCATGTAATTGAGTGAAGACATATTAACGTTTTTCGGGCGGCTGTTGACCGTGCTAGCGCCGCGCGGCGCGATTTTCGCTGCTTATCAGGGAATTTTTTTCTTTGATTTCAATAAAATAGTAAGTATTTTTAATACCCTAATAATGCAGAATTTTACTCCACATGTTCATATACTTTTTGTTCATATATGAGCTTGTGTGCGAAGAAAACTTCGAATGAGCAACGTAATCTATTTTTGCGCTCTTACAACGCATTATGAGACCTGATTAAAGAATTCCTAGTTTCCGGATTGCCGAGAATTTCGTTAATGATTATATACGAGTATAATCCAATGAAAAGCCATCAACATACCCTACACGTCTCGACAAAGCATACTGAGTATAAAACTCAATTCCAGTTTCGCTACCACAGCGTAATAGGGAAGCCATTTAAAAACTGATCTTATTGGTAAAATCTGTAATGTTCAGTCCTCCGGATGACTATCCAAATTTTTGTAGAAAAGCTTTACTCGGCGAAAAAGTCCGTTGCAAAATTGAAAATCGGAAACGACCCTAGTCCCCGAAAAGAGTTGAGCACAACTTGAGAGTCGAAATAACTTAGCGAACAACAGAATTTACATCCTATTTGTCGTTTTGAGTGTTTCTTGAGACCGCGCTCAAATTTCAACATGCTCGATATTCAAGCGGAACTTAAACTCGCATTTCACCCAGTCTGAGAATGGGTACTCTATGCCTTGCACCGACGCCTGTTTTGTCACTACTCTTTCTGCGCTACAACCCATCCATCTGTCAACAAGCAACCGTGAAAAGTTTATCGTGGGTAAAATATCGACACCGAACCAATTCATTTCTAGAAGTGGTTATTTGAAAAGGTTTCTGTTTGATCACCACTATCTGGTATATGTCAGCGTATCAGCGTGATCGGATTCAATGCCGATATCGACTACACACGACAAACCGTTGGTGGCTGGTTGCTGACAGATTGATGCGTTGTAGCGCAAAAAGGGCGGCGTAAAACAGGCGTCGGTAGTGCAACGGCGTAAAGCACGCGCCTCAGATAGAATAAAACGCGGGTCGGTGTCACTTCTGACGCAATGTTGCACATCACTCGACATCATTGAGAATCTATAACATCATAAAACTGCAAAAATGGTTAAGCAAAAAGAATTCTGTATGAATAGTTAACCAGAAAAGCTACTGCACAAGGCATGAGACGCCAGGTCATCGATAAATCACCATAATTAACTTTTTATGATAGGATTTTCAATATCATTCATTTGTACTTGATGCAAAGAATTGATGAATTGCAGAAGAATTTCGTGCAAGAAGGGTCAGTTGTATTCAGAAGAACTAGTAAGTAAAGTAGGTTTTCCGTTTTATCATTGATTCCGCACAATCCAAGTCTATTTGCAGTTTAGATATACACATATATTCTTCCCTGAGAATCGAACTTTGACACTTCCACAATGCATTGAATTGGTTGCTGTATCAAGTTCACAAGGTATGATGATTCCACATTCGAGGTCGTGCAGATACAACATGCTCAAATTGCTCGTGCATTTCACCGATCAAATGGGCGCTTATTGCTCATACACCAAGATGACTTGTAAATGGTTGGTGCATTTTTCTACGACATTGCTTCCAAGTACGTTTTATTCACACTTTAGGTGCATCCGCATGCTGATCTTTCTGATGACGCATATGTGCCTGATGAAAGCGTGGAATTTGCAAAATACTGTGAAGAAAATCTTGTTCGCCGACCTCAAGATGGATGTTTATGTCGTTATGTCAGATTTTCACGAAACCATGTCGTTCCACAAACGCTATCCAGGCGTATTGTCGAAGTCACTCTACCACTTCGTGGACGCTGTCTTCGATGTCATAGAAAATTGGTATTACGAATAAATACCATGCATGCTCAGAGCAAAACCAAACGAGTAATGGCAGAGGTGCAGTCGATGTTTGCAGTATCTCAGTCAACCTCGTCATATGCCAATCAAAAATGTGTTCTTAGGCGTGCTGCCGTTCAACAAAAGATTGTATTATTCATCTTGACAAGTCATGTGTACAATACTGACAATAATGAAGTGAGAACTGATTAATCTAGGATTTGATGTCTATTGTATTGTAAAGCACGAATCGTTGAATGTAACAAGCAAAATTCTAAGCAACGCGAATGAAATGCTGACTGGCGTTTAGGGTAAATTGGCATTGATCGACGTTAGTTGTAGAAGTCATTGATCGCTAAATGAATATATCAAACAACAGATCAACAGCATCAGTGAAAGATTTGGAAAATCTAAGTCAGGAATATGTAAATTCTTTAGTGAAGTCTTCCACAAATTATTTAATGCATATACATTCAATACAGATTCAAAATACAATAATTGATGATTGTGTGTTCTCAAAGGTTATTCCGACTGCTTAGTGAACAGGCATCTTGAAAAAGTCATATATTGAAGAAAATGTATTTTAAATTACACTTCCACATACCACCAAAAAAGTCAGAAGTAAGAAATATAGATGCGTTGATTCTCCATTGATGTGGTTTTTGAATTATAAAATGAGAGTTCGTAAAACACGTGGGTGTTCCTTCAACTAAAAAAGACCTCTATAAAAGACGTTTAGTAACGTAATTCTTGCTGATCATTGATTGTCTGCAGCATAATCTTTTTACATTACAAGCATCAATACACGCACTGCGGAGTTCAAACAATGGGGTAGTTACTCAGACACTTTTTAAGCTGTTCAATGACTATCGAAACTCTAATATAAAGCCAAGCGTGAGCGATAGAAATGCACACAAAGCACCCCGAAGGTGATACGTAATTTCTGCTCCTCGTTATGAAAAGCTGTCTTTATAAATAGATCTAGGAGACAAGTTTACAGTTACAATAGCCGTTCCACGAGCTATCAAATGACCACCGAAATTTCTGGAAAAAGCATGGCTTGGTGAAAAAACTAAGCCAATAAGAGTGCAAAATGCGCTTTTTCATATAAAAATAGCCTAATTTTCTTTTCGTTGATTCAGCTCATTTAGGAGAGGTTTTTGGAAATTGCCCAAACCTCGAAACCTCAATTTTTTCAACTTTCGCCTAATCTCCTTTTGGCTGTTACAGCGTGATACGAGGTCGGATATTTCAAACCAAAAAAAATTTTCGGTTCTCTCAAATTCTATTCTATCTATTAGTTATAAAGTTCGAAGAAAAAAGCTTTGTTCAGCAAGAAATTTTTGAATGAGAAACAAAAGTTCATTTTCGATCTATCAGCACAATAAAAAGGCCTTTTTGGAGATGAAATAGAACATCAAAATATACTTTGAGCTGTCGAATGGTTACTTCAACATTGAAAACGACCATAAGGCATGTTTTTTTCCATGGCATCAAAGTGAGGAGCTTATAAAGAAGTGATCCAATCTTGCGAAACCCAATCTTCATTCGGCTGTTACAGCGTAATGTGTAGTCCATTTTGAAAACAAAGTAAACCATTGGAATTATTAAAATTTGATCTACCGACTGATTATTAAAACTTCGAAGGAACAGCTTTGCTCAACGAGAAATTTTTAAGGATGAGAAACAAAATATTATTTTTGCTCTTTCAGTGCAATAACGAGGCACTTTTGAGAATGGAATATACCGTTCGAGTTTTTTTGAATTAAGCTGCGAACAAATACTCCAATCGTCAAAAACAAGTTGAAAATAAACGTTTCTGGAGGGTCGAAATGGCTCTAGGCTAAGGAAAAGTATCAATTTTTTTCCGAACAAAGCCCTCTAAGCTGAAAAATCGAAAAAAATTCTTATTGTCACATCAGACGGAAACTTTCGTAGAAACGGTAGGCTGGAAAATAGGATACTGCAGTTGCGTCGACGTGCGAAATATGAATCATCTAGTTTTTCCAGTATCATCCTATATTAGTATGTGGATGCGGTGCGCAATGGAGAGAATGGGTTTCGTAGTTGCACCAAGTGCGCTAGAACTCTCGCATGAATAAGTAGAAGGGTCTCTGTCTTTTGTCAATTTCTAAATGATACATTCCTAATAAAACCAGATGGAATCAGTTGGGCACCAAATTATCACGGCCGTAACGTATTTCGAAATATTCCTGTGAATTTGATT